CCATCTGATTGCCTTTCAAAACATGTCGGATATTCGGTACAGCTCAAATAGATTTGCTTTGGAGCAAAGAATTCAAAAAATGATCTCCATTTCAGAGGTTTTGCCAGAGTCTCTTTCAATCGACATGTTTTCGTCTGGTTCATGCAGGTGGATTGAACAGGAATGTACCCATCGATGAAACATGCGAAATCACACATACTGCTCGGCTGTACTCCTCTGTCACCGAGCGTGCTTGTCTAGCATCTGCATACACTTACCGCAGTGTGGTGCGGGAGTCGGAAGTTTTTGGATTTTTGGATCCCTGCGAATTTTGGATCCCTGCGACGAATTTTGAGCCAACCTCATTTTCGGGGTTCTTGACTGCAAATTTTCGTCCCGGTTTTTCCCATCCCCGACTTTTCTCCGTCCCTGCATCACCACAATAAATCGCTCCCTTGATAATTACTGAGGAACTGAACAGCGCAAAAATTTGCATGATACAACTTCGAAAATGATTCGGCAAAATCGAGTGTATCGGATTGCATCTCCAGAAAAATGGTTGGTTATACACCTCAGTATATGAAAAGGAGCGTTCATCGTCAACACCATGAATAGAGCCGTAATTAAAGGAAATCTATTTTATTAGATTTCGTGATCATACTATGTGTTGTTCAGCATATAGGTAGTCGAAAGGGACACTTCTCATACACCACCACCACCCTGAAGTGTGTCTTATGAGGCAACATCGAAATCACCTTCGTAGAGCTTCACTGCATCATGAAACCTCTCAGCAGCGCAGCATATCCTCTGAAATTGGGCTATATCTCTGGAACAAAGCAATATCCTTCGACTTCTTATATGTACTTTTTCCTACTGGAGAATTTGCTCAAAGTGAGCGTGCGATTAAACGACGGTTCATTATAAATGTATGACTTTTTTGCAAGATGTAAGATGTGTTCAACATGTATGACGTCCATGGGATCATTGAAATTCATTGACCTCATGAAATAGTAACTAAGCAAATGATTAAATGAAACATCTCGCTACACCATAGGTACTGAGCACTTGTGGAGGATATATATCACTAGTCTAAAGAGAATTTAACTATCATCTCTTCTAGCTCAGTGTCGAGCAGTTGCATTGGATATGTGAAGGGTTTCGTTGTGATTTTGAAATACATGAATGAGTTAATGACGTTTAAATTCATATTATAAGGTAAGTGTGCAAAGTTGTCAACAATATGCATGTAATCAATGATATGTGTCGCTTTTGACTGAATGTGCTGATATGGTTTCATATGAGAGCCAGTAAGTAATAGAAGTTCTATTGATACGGCGAATGCCATGCAATTTGACTCGATTAGCCTAACAACCGAGCGTGATACGTGGTGCTCATGCTTTTCCTTTCATCTTCACTCGTCGGCAACTGAGTTGAAGCACGATAGCAACCAAGAGGAAGGATTGTGCATGAAACCGAAACATTGTTAAGACGATCGACTTCAGTCGCCTTCGTAAGCAGTATAAGTCACCTAATATTAGTCGATCAGCAGCCACTCTTCTTCGAAATCATATGGTTAGAAAGTGCGAAGTTTGTTATGAGTTTAACAAGAATATAACTGAAGGAAAATCATGAATTTCGATGTACCATGAGATTCTTTGATCGAATCCACACTAGTTTTTTCCTTGGAACTCCATTTCAACTGGAGCATTTCCTGTTCGATAAATGGTAGTCTGTTTTAAAAGATTTTGGAAATTACTCGAGTTGATTGTCGCATTGGTCTTTGCTTCGCAAATGCCTCAAGCCTATTGAATTTATGAACAATTGAATAAAATATTTGTGAAATGATTTGTCCGTCTTGATCCACCAATTTGTTGTTGTTGTTCATATTTTCTACATGATCGACTTTTTCAGGAACTTTGACTGCTTTAAGTTAAATGAAAACTGATATTGTCAACACTTTGGTATTAATTAACAAATCAATTTAAGGAAACTTTCATATTCATTGATGAACTCAATGTGAAAATGAGAGCATTTCATCTCTTTTCTGGATATTTCACTCGTAATGCTTGGCTTTCATTGTAGGATAACCTAGTGCGTGGACCAGCTCGCGCTACTAAAGCACCTCCTACAGTGATTTGTTATGTATGCGGTCGACAGTTCGGATCTAGAAGTATTGAGATACATATCCCTCAATGTTTGAAGAAATGGGAGCTCGAGAACGAACGATTACCGAAATCCAAACGTCGACCACCTCCACCCAGGCCAGATTGTTTCACCGAGCAAGGTCAGTGACTCCGTTCGATTGTAGCAGCTGATTGACTCCTCCACAGATATTTTCGTGAATCATTTCATGAATTTGCAATGCTTTGAATTTTATCTGTTCATGAATCATTCATCATGAATCATCCATCGTGAATCACTGTCAGTTCGTAAATCCTCTATCATTGTCTACAACACTATAACGAAGTGTTCGATATATCCTTCTTCATTAGAAATATTTTCTTCATCGGATCAGTCATTAGTCCTTACAAACTATCAGATCCAAGAAATGCTTAATAGATCATGAAATATGCTCACAATTGGCAAATTCCTGTTGATGTCCTCAAGTACAGTTCTGCGCAATAAGTTCATGATTTGGCATTTGACCTTTGCGGATTACTGTGACCTCTTTCATAAATCCCTTTTGCAGTACTTTTATCCTATACACCTTCCGGCTCTTACTGATCCTTCACCATCGTCCCACTGCATACGTAATTCTTTGAATAAGCAGCCAGTGATACTTGTTATAAATCTGAGCATAAATATTCACCATTCAACTTGAGAAAAGTGCTTCTCGTCAGCTGTAGAGTTAAACTCCCTCAGGTAGAAAGTTTCTGAATGACTTAACAATTAAATAGTGCACCCAGCAAAATTCAAGAGTTTTCTTTAAGAGCGTTAAATTTTAAGTAAGTCCGTTAAATCGAAAGCGATTTCATGCCTTATACGTCAAACGAACACCTTAATACACTTCTTGTACTAGACATGAAGCAAAAAAACGAATCCCTCAAAATCATGTTAAAAGAATTTTCGCAAGTAAACTCATGTCTGAATAAAACTGTCTGCTTATTCCTTCGAAACTATCACTCGCTCCATTAACGAGTCCCTCCTTCTAAAAGCCTCAACCAAACAATTCACGATCACTGATTCATATTTATTACTACCCATGGTTTCAAAATTGCATGTGTTGTCACCTATAGAGTGTATGATATTTGTCTCTGAATACGTGAACCAATGCTTTTTTTCAGGTACAATCCTTGGGACAGTCGATAAGTACGCAGTGAATGAAGCTGCATGGACAGCTTCTCAAGCAGCATTGGTAGCATGTGAACACTGCGAGCGCACGTTCAATCCGGATCGTTTGCAGATACACCAACGCAGTTGTACAAAGGAGAAACCCGCTAAAAGAGTCACCACTACTAACATTAAGAAGCCATAGATCTACCAACCTTTACTGCTGAACAAATATAAAAATCCCATGATCGCTAAACACTCCTTCCTGTCCTGAGTCTACTCTCATTTGCTGGTTTTCTAGGGAATTACTGTTCCCTACGGGGTATTACGCAACATTTCGATCTCAAATTCTGCACGTATCCCTTTAAAAACATCCAGTCGCAGTCGAAAAATATCATTCGTGCACTGAATTTTCATGCTGTCGATGGCCTCACACTGATTCTAAGTGCGGACAAGAAAACCATCAAAACAAGATGAGCTTAAGCGAAAGACTGGGTTCCGAAGTAGTATATTGGGCAAAAATACTAACAGGCCGAAGAAATTTAAATTAAAAAAAAAGAAAATCAAATGATTTCTTCACTAACAGAATGGTTTTATTTG